GAGTTTGGTAGGGGTATGGTCTTAACCCTTTTGTTTTGTAGAAAATGAAGAACGAGGTCCCTAATTTCGGTATGGTTAGCACGCCCCCACTCTAGCTAGACTGTTGGAGGAGTCTTCCATCAGATGACCAAATCAATGAGTGGAAAGAGAGGGTCGCCAGAGCTAGCGAAAAGTTGGAATATCTGGAATACAGTCTGCTGGAATTAGAAGGAAAAGTGAGGAAGAGAGTCACCGACTGCCAGAACGCTAAGGGAAACGAAGGAGAACACCTGGCAAAGACATTTTTACTGGTGAACCTAAGTGAACTGGAGGATTTGATCAACGAGAGCATTCAACCTGAGGAAGGTCCTTCTGGGACCAAGTAGATAGGAGTTTTTCTTTTCGCTTTATAAAATGTAATAAGGCCAATGGCCATTAGTAATTTTCATTTCCTGTTTATTTAGTGTCATTTTGGGATTCGTCTACTTTTTATCAATGAAATGAGGCATTTAGCATCCTAAGTTCTCCAAATCAATTTGTCGCTAGGCCTAACTCGGGCACTAAGAGGTTCCCAAATTAGGACATGCTTTACATTCTTGCACTATGTGTTTAAATATTGCAATACTTTTTATAAACCTCACTAACTTGGTTACCTTTTTGTTTTTACTTTTTGTTTTATTATTCCCCTCCCCAAAGGTTAGTTCGTGCACTCTGGCAACATTATCCTATTCCACGAGATCCAGGGGCCCTCCACCCACTCCTCCTCTTAGTCCCATTAAAGGCAAGAACAAAGGGCTTGGCAAGAACCTTCAAGGAATCTCTAAACCCATAAAACTCAAGAAACATGGCACTACCTTCGGTTTAGGATATGGATACACTTGGGAGGAATTCGGTCGCCACCATGGCGTGGTCCTTATTATCCACTAGAGCAGCCAATACCGCATCTGGAGCAGACTTTCCAACAGGCTGACATTATTTATGGATCAGATGAAGAAGAAGCACTTGCAACGGTGAAGAACTTGTTCCTAGAAGACAATGATATGGACTGTTGTGTTGTTCTCGAGGAAGAGGGGGAGGAAGGCCCTTCCATACAGGCTGTAAGTAGAGGGGCATGCCTCAATAACTGGACCATCAGGACAACCAGAGCCCGATGAGCCTCGGGGTAGCAAGGCTAAAACAAGCATTGTCTTCTTTACTAAAAGATTTTATTTTTCGCATATTTTCAATTCCCGCAATAAGATCTCCAATGTTCAAAACGATTATGCAATTTATCAAAGCATTTTTTATCTTATGAATCGACGCACATTATTATTTTTCTCTCATTAGTTTACTTATACATCATTACTATTACTTATTTTGGTGAACCAATGACTGTGACATGCAACGAGACAACGCAACAAATGGACATAGATTCAGAGGAAGATGACATACTAGAAAAGATTGTTAAAGATGTTGAGAATTTTGAAAATAGACCGAAGTCTAACCTGGACGAAACTGAGATTATCAACCTGGGAGATGCAGAAAACGTCAAAGAAACACGAATCAGCGTTCACTTATCGCCGTCAGAAAAGAAGGAAAACACAGAATTTCTAAGAGAATATGAGGACATATTCGCCTGGTCGTATGATGACATGACTGGTCTGAGTACATCTATTGTGGCTCACAAACTGCCAACCGATCCAACATGTCCGCCGGTAAAGCAAAAGTTCAGAAAGTTCAAGCCTGATATGAGTTGGAAAATCAAAAAAAAGTCACTAAGCATGTCAAAGCTAAGGTTCTCAGGGTAGTAGAATACCCGACATGGTTAGCCAACATTGTACCGGTGCCAAAGAAGGATGGGAAGGTCAGAGTCTGTGTCAACTACCGGGATCTCAATCGGGCCAGTCCAAAAGACGACTTCCCTTTGCCAAACATACACATCCTGATCAACAATTGCGCCAAGAATGAGTTGCAATCATTTGTAGATTGTTTCACGGGTTATCATCAGATCTCTGGATGGATGAAGAAGATGCTGAGAAAACAGCTTTTATTACGCCATGGGGAATGTATTGTTACAAGATGATGTCGTTTGGGTTGAAGAATGCAGGGGCCACCTACATGAGGGCCATGACCACCATTTTCCACGATATGATACACAAAGAGATTGAGGTATATGTAGATGATGCCATCATCAAGTCCAAGAAAGCTACCGATCACATGGAAGATTTGAGGAAGTTCATCAATAGACTAAGAAGGTACAACCTAAAACTGAATCCCGCAAAGTGCGCATTTGGGGTTCCTGTTGGAAAATTACTTGGGTTTATTGGGAGTCGCCGAGGAATAGAACTAGATCCATCAAAGTCAAAGCCATTCAAGAACTACCACCGCCAAAGAACAAGAAGGATGTGATGAGTTTCTTGGGAAGGCTTAACTACATCGGTCGGTTCATAGCACAGTCTACAATTATCAGTGAGCCAATCTTTAAGATATTGAAGAAAGACACCGCTACCAAATGGACTGATGACTGCCAAAAAGCTTTCGACAGGATCAAGGAATACCTGTCAACACCACCAGTTTTAGTCCCGCCTGAGCCGGGTAGACCCTTATTACTCTACCTTGCAGTATTGGATGGAGCTTTCAGTTGCGTTCTAGGGTATCATGACAAAACGGGGAGGGGGAGGGAGGGAAGGAGCAGGCCATCTATTACCTCAGTAAGAAGTTCACCCCGTACGAGGCCCGGTATTCTCTATTAGAACGCACTTGTTGTGCTTTGACTTGGGTAGCTCAGAAGCTGAGGCATTACTTCTGTGCCTATACTACATATCTCAGATCAAGGATGGATCTTTTGAAGTACATCTTTCAGAAGCCCATGCCCACTAGCAAGCTAGCCAAGTGGCAAATCCTGTTGAGTGAGTTTGACATTGTTTACGTCACTCAGAAGGCAATCAAGAGACAGGCACTAGCAGATCACCTTGCTTAAAACCCCGTGGACGGAGAATATGAACCCCTAAAAATGTATTTTCTTGATGAAGAGGTATTGTTCATTGGAGAAGACATTGCAGAATCCTATGACAGTTGGAGAATGTTTTTCGATGGAGCAGCAAATTTCAAAGGAGTTGGCATAGGAGCAGTCCTTGTATCAGAAACCTGTCAGCATTATCCGGTGTCCACCAAGCTCAGGTTTCCCTGCACCAACAACATGGCCGAGTATGAAGCCTGCATCCGAGGGCTCAAAATGGCCGTTGACATGAACATTCAAGAGTTTCTAATGATCAGAGATTCAGACCTACTTATAAATCAGGTCTGGGAAGAATGGGCAACCAAGAACTCCAAGATACTTCCGTATCTGCATTATGTACATGAATTGAGAAAGAGGTTCGTAAAGACAGAATTCCAACATGTTCCCAGGGTTCAGAATGAGTTTGCCGATGCATTGGCTACCTTATCATCCATGATACAACATCCAGACAAGAACTTCATTGATCCCATTCCAATAAAGATCCATGATCAGCCTGCTTATTGTGCGCATGTTGAAGAAGAGGCAGACGAAAAACCTTGGTTTCATGATATCAAGGAATACTTGGCGAAAGGAGAATACTCAGAACTTGCAAATCCTACTCAGAAACCTTTTAGGATTAGTAGTCCTAAGTGCCTCCAGGACTGATAGGAATGGGACAAGTAATAGCATGCAATAAGTAATCGAGACTAACCCGCGCTTTAAATACCTTAACAGGGTGGGAAGGGTAGATATGGATATGATGACCGCGCGATAACGTCACGTGTAGCCCCTCATTGAGGAGTGATTACCGGACGTTGTGTCGGGTGATCCATATTTTTAGTAAACCTAGGACCCCCCCCCCCCCCCCCTCAATAAATCACAAAAATCTCTTAAGTTTGAAAAATATAATATTTAGATTTGACAGAAAATCTCACAAATATTGATTCAAATACACTCCCAAAATCTGGTNCTGCTCTTTAAACTTTGTCTATTTTCAAACTTTTATATGTGAAATCCCCTCCTATCTGAGCTTTATTTGTCTACATGTTAATTGTACCCCAAATTCACAATAATTGTCTGGCCGGGAACCACACTAGTGGATTCTGAGGGGTGCCTAATACCTAAGGGCTTGGAATAATTTCAAGCCCTTACCCTATCTCTGGTTTTTCAAAATCAAACTCTTTTGGTGTCCTAATGCACCCTAATCATTAGGTGGAGACTATTTAAATTCAAACCCGTTCCCAAAAGGAACGAGTTGTCCTTCCAAATGTCATAAACCCAATTTCGCTCTAGAAAAAGGGGGCGCGACAACACTCAAATCACTCAGCACTCGGCACTCAATCACTCGGCACTCGGTACATGCACTCACTGCTAGTATGTCAAACTCCGGATGGGCGGATCTTGCCCAAGCGCTAAAATAAGCCATCATGGTCTGTTGCGCCGTGCAGCCCGATCCCATCATGAATCAATAAAACCTATTGCAGCGTGCAGCTCGATCCCATCAATAATAATATATATAAAGCCAATATTGCCGGTTGCGGCATGCAGCCCAATCCACAATATCTCTCATAACACGACCCTCAGGCCCCAACTCAGTCATCAATCTCTCCAGTCTCTCGGGCTAACAAATCTCATGCCAATCAACCCAAACAATGATAACATGATGTGACAACAATTGATAACAAAGACTGAGATATGATATGCAAATGAATAGATATGACTGAGTACATAACTGTAATTTAAGCAAATAACTCAACAGCAGAAATGACCTCGGTGGGTCTCAACAGAATAAGCATGTAGCCTAAACATGATTTCTAACATGATTCACAGCTCATATAATCAATCAAGTAGGGATAACATGGAGGTAACAAGATATAACAGCAAAACAAGTCTGATCATAGTGTAATAGTCGACTAGAATCATGATTTCCTCAGTGCATGTCCGCACGCTCGTCACCTAGCATGTGTGTTACCTCAATACATCTCTTATAACACAGTTTCCATGGTTAAATACCCTCAAATTTAAGTTTAGATATGTTTCTTACCTCGAGCAAGCCAAATCCAATACCGAGCAAGCCAACCCATACTCTAGGAATGCCATCCCACGCATATCAACCTCCGAACGGCTCGAAACTAGCCAAAAGAAACTCAACTACATCAAATAATGCATAAAGAAACAATCCCAAATGATATTGGTGGTATCTCAAAAATAAAAAGCCCAAAGTTAACCAAAAAGTCAAAACAGAGCCTACACCTCGGAACCCGACAAAACTCACAAAATCCAATGACATATTCAATTATGAATCCAGCTATACTAGTTTCACTCAAAATCTGGCTCGGAATCGATATTCAAAACTCAAAAATTCACATTATGAAAGTTTAGTCAAAACCCTCGATTTCTCTTTCAAAATTATCAATCAAATGCCAAAAACGAAGATGAAATCACAAAATAAAATCAATACCGAATAGAAAATACATACCCCATTCCATGTGGTGAAAATCGCCTCCAAAATTTCCTAAATCCCAGCTTCATAGCTCCAAATATGATAAAATGCCCGAAACCTTCGAAATAGAGTACTTTAAGGTCTGCTCCAAGTATACTTTTCACGCACGCGGAAGGACCATCGCGTTTGCGATGCACAAAAATACTTTGCCACAAAAGACCCGACGCGTTCGCGGCATAGACCTTGCGAACGCGATCTGCACCAGATCCAAACCTTCGCGAATGTTGCTGATACTTCACGAATGTAAAGGCATTTCTTCTAGTCCCCAGCTTCTCAACTCACTCTATGCGAACCCGAGCTAAAGAAGGCGAACACGATGCTCAGGTCTCACAAAGGTACGCAAACGTGAGAACACAATCGCGAACATAATGAAGAAAAAAAGGTTAGATCCAATAATACACTATGCAATGAAAAGGGTCAGCTACACCAGAAATTAGCAGTGCCAAAGAACATGGAAATTATCTGAAACTTACTTGAGCCCCTCGGGATCCCGTCCAGACATGCAAACAAGTCCCAAAACATAACACGGACCTTCTCGAGGTCTCAAATCACACATAACAAGATCAAAAATCACGAATCGCACCTCAAATCGAACTTAATGAATGGTTGACTTTTAAACCTACAAAACTTGTGCCGAACAATATCAAACCAACTCAGAATGAACTCAAATTTTGCACACAAGTCCCAAATAATATAATAAAGTTGTTGAGATTCCAAATCATCAAAGTCAACTCTCAATAAAACTTATGAATATTCCAAACCTTCAAATTTCCATCTTTCGCCAAATAGTGCCAAAACCTTCTAGAAATATCCAAATGCAAGTCCGGGCAAACGCCCAAGTCCAAAATCACCATACGGACCTAACAGAACTATTAAAACTTTGATCCGAGTTCAAATACTAATAAGCCAAATTTGGTCAATTCTTCCAACTTAAAGCTTTCTAGTTGAGAATCACTTTTCCAAATCAATTCTGAATCACCTGAAAACCAAAATTGATGATTCACGCAAGTCATAAACATCATACGAAGCTACTCAAGACTTTAAATAGCTGAATAGAATGCAAATGCTCAAAACGACCAGTGGGGCCGTTACATTCTCCTCCCACTTTAATGTACGTTCGTCCTCGAACGCGCCTAGAGTCGTTCCAAATCCATCAAATCGCCGTGTAACTTTACCACGCACATATCCGAGGGTGATCCCACGTTACTCCAATCCATGTAAGCCTGAAAACACAACATAATTGAAGATCATTACTTTAACCTTAGTTCATAAGCCTTAGAACCCAATTTCCAACATCCAAAATTCCTTACAAGACCTGAACTCGCATTTACACACTGTATAAGTCTCAACAAGCAGTATCAAGCCATAATAATCACCCAAGATATAATCACATGATATACCACACAACTCGCATACTCGTAGCAATAATTGCTGATCACAGTAGCTGTTCAAAACAAACCCGACACTGGTAGTAAACCTTATATCAAATAAAAACTCATTCAAAACCTTTGTACACTGCTGAGGATGAAAGAAACACGCATAAACTCATAACCACTTATTAGATCAACAAGTCATGGAGCTCTCTCTCTTGTCCGACAAGAACCAAAGCCAAATCCCAAGCTGACTTCCGATATTATTCTTTCAAACATACTGTAATCAATTCCGATAGTATCCATTTTGGGTCCAATGACCATATATCATCAAACACAACTATTCTATTGACATGCCACACCAATACAACCTAAAGCAACAACTGTACAATCTGTGCACCAATAAGTAACAATTCAAAAGTATTCAAACATGGAAAATGACTCAAATGAGAGAACCATCCCGCAAGCTCAACAAGTGCCACCACAAACGCAATGCTACGAACCCATCACACATAGTAGAACCAAAACACATGAATCTATCTAAAATGATCATATCTCAACATAACTCTGTTGCAACACGTGACCCCATCCAAACAATGGTCCTATGAAATACCTCAAGCCACAATGCTCAAAATCGACAATCAGACGCAATTCCACATCAAGTACACGAAGTGCATGACCATAACCATGGAGGAGTGAATAACATTATATACCACGGCCCGAAAAGACCATAGCCAAGGCACAATCAACCATTCAACTCCCCAATAACTATCTCACTCAAAATTCGCTACAAGGCCCAAATAAAACCGCATCTTATAAGCATATACCCAATAAATCACAAGCCCTCGTAGCATAGAAGAGTAATATATAGAACATATCCGAACACGAGCAAGATCAACTCTAACTGAATGACACACCTTTCAGTAATAACAGTGCTGAGTCAACAAATCCGACTCGGTGTAGAATACACATCCTCATTGGGCCTACCAATGGGCCGCCAAATCAACTCCAGTCATCCCCAAATGGACAAATGGCCCTCCAAAAGTCCACAATGACCTAACCATAACACATACTACCTTCTAGTTAACTTTGGGCACGTCTTCACAATCCACAAACACGTCCCAGTCTCCAAATCCATAGATAACATGAATTACCATAGCCGGTCCCAACTCCACCACACCATATGAAAACACGAGAACTGCATTATCGACCCTTGGTCACAAGCAAATTACATACTCGATTAGTTGGAAACCTTCCTTGATCCCATCCAGGAGAAAATCATAACATGTCACATATCCCTCATACCTGTAAATAAATCCATCTCAAGTTATGGCAAAAATCACCAAGAACACTTCGAAACCCATTTACACATAACCAAGCCATTAGAAACTCTCTCAGAAGGTGCTGATAACTATTACCCATCAGCACCTTCTGAGTAAGAATGCTCTGGCGTGCATGATAACTAACCTGTGCACGCCATGGGTAAGAGTGCTCAGATTCTTACTCAGAAGGTGCTGATGATGCAAGCAGTAACTTTGCAATGAGGTATTCAGGCTAGGAAGAGAGGAAACAACGCAAAAACAACATCAATTGAAAAACAAAGCATAACCGAAGAAGAGATTAGCCAAATCGAGGAGGTAATCATAGAAGAAAAGGAAATTCCTAAATCCCCCTTGTTAATAGAATGGGATCGAATTGTGCAATCCCCGATGAGTAGCCGCAAACTCACATGGGCGGAAGAGGTGATGCAGCAGAAAGCCAAGTGAAATGACCATCAATTTGGGATAATTTTGATGTTACAAAAAATTTCAAACGCAGGTTTCAAGTTGGAGTATGTTCAACCGGAAGTACATGGACAAACAAAAGTTTGCGCAATTGATGTTGAGAATATCAGTTCAGAAATAGATTACTTGAGTACTGTCGTTGTATGTTACGTACTTGGTGCCCGCCCCCATTCTCTATTTTGAATGGATTCATCCAGCGACTGTGGGAAAAATATGGTATAAACAAAATTTCAATGTTGAGGAATGGCATAATTTTGGTGAGGTTCAACTCAGAAGCAGGGGAAAATGATGTCCTTGAAGGAGGAATTTATCACTTTGACAACAAGTCGTTCATTGTTAAAGCATGGAGTGCCGCCATGGAATTCACAAAAGAGGAATTACAAACGCTACCAATTTGGATTAAGCTTCCTAGGCTTGATTTCAAATGTTGAAATCCAAAAGGGCTCAGTAAGATAGGAAGCTTAATTCGAAAACCATTAATGGTGGATCGTAACACTAAGAAGAAGAAGGGTTTAAATTTTTCTAGGCTACTGGTTGAAGTGGAACTAGATTCCAATCTACTGGGCACATTATTTTTTAGAAATGAGAAAAGGGATAGTGATTAAACAAAAAATACAGTATGACTAGAAGCCAACCCTATGCAAATTTTGTCAAATATATAGACATTCAGAGGATGAATGTAAGAAGAAGAAAGCTCCCAAACCAAAGGTGCCCAAAGAGCAAGGGGAACACCCTGATCAAGCTAATTATAGGAACAAGGGAGTCGAGCAAAAAGAAGGTACAAAGGCAGTAAAGGGGAAAAAATAGGTGGAAGTTAATGTACAAGAAAGGGCGGGCACATAGAGAACAAATAAACAGGTTGACAAAGGCAATACACCAACAGCTGGTTGGGTTACCCCTGTGAATAGGCATGCAGCAAGACAAAATCCATAATTGACAAAGTAAAATTAGATAGTGGTAGCACAAAATTCGTTTCAGGCACTTGGTAAAAAGGAACAACGAAGGAAACAGTTGGTGAGTCAAGCTATAAATGAGGGAGGACATGACTTTCCTCCCTTAGCTAATGGTTAGCATCCTAGCATGGAATGTTAGTGGCCTCAATGCCCCTAACAAACAAAAGGAGGTTAGACTCCATTGTAATGAACAAAATATTGGTCTAATAAGATTGTTGGAAACTAAAGTTAAGGTATGAAGACTTGATAATGTGATTAACAATATGTTAGGGGGTTGGCAGTACATCTAATTTGGAGCAGCATTAGAATTGAAAAATTTGTATTGTGTGGAGGCAAGATATTTATCATGTTATAGATGTACCTAAGTTAGCCCAAGCTATAACATGTCAGGTGACTAGTATAGCTGAACATGTGGAGTTTTATATAACTTTTGTGTATGCTTATAATCACATAAGTGAAAGAAGAGAATTATGGGAATACTTAACTAGGCAAAGGGTGGTATGCACTGGTGCTTGGATGGTATTAGGTGACTTTAATTCAGTCCTTGATTTAGAGGATAGATTAGGAGGCAATCTAGTTACAGTGGCTGAGGTGGTGGAGTTTAAGGAATGCGTGGAAGATTGTGAGATCATGAAACTTCCACATCATGGGAACAGGTACACCTGGAATGACAAGCAAGGTACAATGTCTCCACTGAGTGACCATTTTCCAGTGAAAATAGCAGCACTAAGTGACTCCTCAAGAACAAAGAAAGCCTTTTAGTTTTGTAATATTTGGGTCAGTCATCCTCAATTTTTGGAAAGGGTGGAAAATGTGTGGGATACAGAGATTCTGGGGGTATAAGATGTTTCAAGTTATCAAGAAATTAAAACTTTTGAAGGGGAACTTAAAGAAGCTAAATGGTCA